ACACCCCAGCACTCTTTTGGGACACAGGAGAATCTGAGGCCCAAAGAACAGGGGGACTTATTCAAGGACAGACAGATGATGCAGAACCAGGACCAGGATCTATTGAGTCTAGCTGGGGCTTGTTAGAGATAGCAGGGAGATGAGGAGTCAGCAGACCCGGGTGGACCCTGGTGGAATGCATCTTTAACCAACTCTTGTGCGTGAGTGTGTAGCATTGGAGTGGGATCCTGATGCACAATCATTTGGGGCTGGACCACCCAGGGAGGGGTCACCGAGGATCTGGGACTGGATTTGAGGTTTACACACCATAGGACAGAGCTGGTCATCCCTCAAGGCCACACACCCAGCAGGAAGAGGGCAAGGGAAGTGCTGACCCAGACATCATTTGATTTTCTTGGAGCCACTCATCCCATTCTGGATCAGAAGCCACATTCTGTCCTTGCCTGGCCCAGGCCAGATGGGGGGGGGGGTCCACTTCAAGTCACCAGGACTCCTACCCTTGGTCCTTCAACTGGGCAAGCCTGGTGTCTAGACTCTGAGACTGGGAAATGGGCCTCAGAATTCAGTAATAAAAACACAATCTGAGAATCAACAAACACTGGGAGCTTTGTGTTTCCAAGTTGGAAGGCACCTTAACAAAGAAGCAGTCCCATCCAACACACCATCCCTTGCACAGATCCAGTGCCTGACATTCCTGCCAAATGGCTGTCTCATCCATATTGGAAATGGTAAGCTCGGCCCTCCTGGTGCATCTGCTACATGGCAGGCACAGTGCTAGGCACCACCCCTCTACGCCTCAGTTGGAGATCATTATGGGAGACCTTCCACCATGTGAGAGGTTGAGCGCTATTTCTGAGGCTATTTCTGAGACCTGGTTTTGAATCCCGCCTGCCTTGACGTGTGGACCTCTCTGAACCTCAGCTTTCTCATCTGTAAATAGATGTCACAGTGACACAACACCACAGGTTGTTGAGAGACATATTCAAAGTGGCCTGGTGCATGGACATGATGGCTATTATTAGAATAATAATAATTATCCCCATTTTACAGATACAGAAAATGAGTCTCAGAGAGGTGAGGAGACTGTCCTAGGCTGTCTTACCAGTGAGAAGATGCCTCATGCAACCAGAGGTCTGCTCGTGCAAACAAGCCCATACCAGAACCTGGAGAGCTGGTTAAGTGCCCAGAGGCCCATTCCAGCCTTGCTGACTCCAAATTTCAGGGCCTGGATCTGTGTTTCAAGAAAGCTCCCTGGGAGTTCTGAGGTTGCTGGTCCTGCCCTTTGCCTGCTATAGGAGGTGGGGTGCTCACGGCCTCCGGCAGTAGCCTGACCATAGGATGAGATTTTGGGGTTTTTGTTTTTTGTTTTTATTTTTGTTTTTTTGGTACCAGAGATTGAATTTAGGGTCCACTCGATCACTGAGCCACATCCCCAGCCCTATTTTATATTTTATTTAGAGACAGGGTCTCGCTGCATTGCTTAGCACCTCACTGTTGCCGAGGCTGGCTTTGAACTCGCAAACTTCCTGCCTCAGCCTCCCGAGCAGCTGGGATTACAGGCCTGCGCCACTGCACCCAGAAAGGATGAGCCATTCTTTGCATTCCAAAACCAGAGCAGAGAGCCATCCGAGGTCCTTCCTACCCCGACCCCCTGCTTGCCCCTGAAGGGCTGGGGGCTCCCCGCCATCTCGCCACCCACACAGGCATCCGGTCCCAAGGGTTACTCGTTAGGTGGCTGGGAGGGGCTGGCCCCTCATCAGACACCTGTTAGAGAAGCCTGGACTTCCCCCTTAGCCCCAGAGTCCCGGGTTCCTGTAAATCATTCATCCTGGGCCCTCTCCCTGCCCCGTCGCTCTCACGCACCACCCAGGCCCCTCCTCTCTGGGCTCTGGAGGTAGCACAGGTGCTCAGAAGATGGGACAGGAAGGATTGTTGAGAGACATATTCAAAGTGCAGTTCCTAGTTCTATCTAGAGCTGAGACCGAAGCCCGGGTCTCCTGACTGTCATTGAAAGTACAGTTCACATCTGCACATGGTAAACATTGAAACACCCAGAGTCTGCCTCCACCAATGGCTTTCCTCCTCCAGCTCCTCTCCCCAAAGGAGCAGCCCCTGTTACTGGGCTTCTCATAGGTTCATTGGAAAGAACTGTATGGAGACATGAACAGTGTGTGTTGTGTATCCCCCGCTTTTGGTTTGGTTTGGTTTGTACGGGGGATTGAACCCAGGGGTACTCTGCCACTGAGCTACATCCCTGGACCTTTTTATTTTTTATTTTGAGACAGGGTTTCCTTAAGTCACTGAGGGTCTCACTGAGGGTCTTATTGAGACTGACCTCAAACATCCTCCTGCCTCGGCCTCTGGAGTCCCTGGGATTACAGTGTGCACCACTACAGCCTGCTTTCTGGGTGTTTTAAAGGGCCCAGTTGCTGCTGTCCAACCCCAGCACAGGCCAGACTCCCAGCCCCGTCCCCCACTTCTCTGACCCCTCCTTTCCTGGAGGGGGTGGTCTGCTGTTTACACTCCTATTGCCAATGCTTAGAGGACAATGTGTGGCAGGCTCAGCAGCCCCCAAATATGGTGGGGTGAAGAGATATGCACTGGAGGAAACAGAAAGAGCTGCTAGAGCAGGGGACACAGTTTTGGGCAGGTCTGCGCTCACTGGGGCCTCCGGGGACCCTGACGACACAGAGAGGATGAAATAGAGACTTGCCAGGCTTCTTATTTGGACCTCTGGCTGCCATGTGACCATCCTGGACTCGTCTCTTCTCTGTAAAAAACGAAAGGAGACTAAACTCCCAGGACTCCTTCCGGCTCCAGCTGAGCAATCCCAGCAGGCGGGCAGAGGCTTCAGAGCCCTCCTGGGCCCTGGCTGCGGTGGCATTAGGCAGAATTGTTTTGAAACAGTGTTGAATTTTCTAGACTAAGAAGAGGCCCCATCCGGAGCCACAGCCTCAGCAGCCACTCCCTTGGCCCTTTCCTGGGGCAGACCTGGCCAAGGGCCGAGGCTGTCCCGTGCTCAGTTGGGCAGCAGACTGAGGTCAGGGGATCCGGAAGTGTCCGGTGTGGTTCTGCTGCTCTGGCAGAAAACCCAGGGAACAGCCGCCCAGGAACATCTGTTGTCTCCCGCTCTCCACAGAGCCGTTGGCCCACGAGGAGCCCGGTGGCTGTCCTGCCAAGCTGCGTGGGCCTGGTGGAGGGCAGTGCAGAGGCACCGAGGGACGGCCAGGGCCAGGGCTGCAAGCAGGGAGGTGAAGGCTGGCTGCCGTGGGGCCCTGGGTGAGGTGGGCAGGGCTCCGCGGTGGCTCTGAGACCCACCAGGCCCTGGAGGACACATGCGTGCTGGGGTGCACCTCCTATTTATAGCCACATGGTCAGCTGCTTACAGAGGAACTGGTATTTTGCCAGGCCCCACCCCAGCCCAGGCCAAGCAGGACTCTTCAGCGGACACAGCATCTTTGTTGGTATGTGGTGCTGAGGATCGAACCGGGGCCGCACGCATGCCAGGCGAGCGCACTACCGCTTGAGCCACATCCCCAGCCCCAAAGCAGGACTCTGAATATCCTCCCCAGACCTCCAGTCCCAGCCCCAAAGACAGCCCTGACGTGAAGCCCAGATGCTCCTCAGTCCAGCTCCCTGCCCTGGCTGAGCCCCATCTAGAAGCAAGCCACTACCTCCTCCCTCCTGGGTTATTGCACGGCCGCTTCCTCTCCCCAGTCTGCTTACTACGCAGCAGCCAGGGGAATGTGAAAACCTACATCAGACTTCATGTCTCTCTGCTCAAAACCCTGCAATGGCTCCCATCCCAGACACGGTAAAACCCAGAGTCCCTCCCCTTGTGTCCTGCCCCTGTTCCCCTTGCTTCCTCCATCCCACCCCACCAGCTTCCTCACTGTTCCTCAAACCTGTCAAGTGGCAGCTGTGCTCCCACCCCAGGGCCTTTGCACTTACTGGTCCCTCTGCCAGATGTCTGCTTGCCTCTTTCCCTTCTCTTCTTTAGCTCTTTGCTCAGATTCCCCTGCTCAGTAAGGCCTTCATGAGCCAGTATATTTAATAAAAACTTTTTTTTTTTTTTTTGAGACTGGATCTGGCTTTGCTCTGCAGGCTGGCCTCAGACTCCTGGGCTCCAGCGAAGCTCCCTTCTCAGCCACCTGTGGGGCTGGGACTCAGTCACCACAGGCGCAGGCCTCCTCCCTAAATTCTTAGTCTTCCCTCTCTGCTTTCTTTTTCTCCAAATACTTATCAATTAACATTTCAAGTGTTTTCTACATTTACTTTCTTTTTGTGGGTCCTGCCCCCTTAGAGCCTGAGCTTCCAGAGGGCAGGGATTCCTTTATTTTGTCCCCTGCCTACCCCAGGGCAGGGCTCCAGGCAGGAGCTCAGTGATGATGACCTGGGGAGCCACCTGCAGCCCTGCTGCTCTGGGCCTGCCCCTACCCTGCTGCAGCCCGGCTCAGGGTTTGCTGTCCAGGGTCAGGGACTCTTGAGGTCCAGCAAGCCCCGTCCTTCCTGCCTGAGTGTGGGGTCAGCGTTCAGCAGGGACTGGGGAGCCCCGGCCCAGCTACTCCTCAGTTTCTGAATCCTTCCACTTGCCCGTCCAGCCACCGTGGCCTCCCCTGTCCTCTTTTGCACAAGAGAAAGGAGCAGCTGACATCTTCTTAGCCTCAGTCTACCCTTGCCTGCCAGGTGTCCCCTTCGGATCTGTGGTGTTCAAACTCATGATCTGAGGATCTCTGAATCGGAACTACTTGGGGGCTGTCAGCCACAGTTTCCCCCAGGCTCTCACATTAAATAGGGGCGCCCAGAAGCTGTGCTTTTACAAGCTCCTGGAATGTCCTTTGCTCAGCCACAGCTGGCAAATGCTGACTGGAGCTGGCGGAGCTGGTGGTCAGAGCGGGTCCCTGGGTCAGGAGGCCTGAGAGAAGCCCCAGCCTCAACAGCAGCCCCACCTTTTGTGGGTGCCCCCCCTTACCTTCCCTCCTGGTCCTCCTGCTTCTCAGGCAAGACCCGGACCAAGGACAAGTACCGCGTGGTCTACACGGACCACCAGCGCCTGGAGCTGGAGAAGGAGTTCCATTACAGCCGCTACATCACCATCCGGCGGAAGTCAGAGCTGGCCGCCAATCTGGGGCTCACCGAAAGGCAGGTGTGTAGGGGTTCCCCCACCTCAGCCTGGCAGCAGATTACAGGGCTCAGTAGAGGGAGATCAGAGAGGCCAAGGGTCCAGGCCGTGGTCACAGCACAGCTGACCCTGAGCTGCTGCCAGCAGGTGCCCCAAGGAAACCTGACATTCCTGCCACCTCAGTGGGAGCACCTGGCTGAATAGCTGTGCCCTCGAGCAGGCCATGGCCAGTGCTGTTAGGCCCTCTAGGAGGGAGCAGCCATGGGGAACAGGAGGGCTCCCGGAGGGGGCCTTGGAGGAGGAAGAGGAAGGTGGCCTGGGGGAGCGAGTTCTACAGGGAGACGAGCAGGAAAGAGGCCACAGACACCACCTAGAGAAGGGCCAGCCCTATGCCTTCCTCTCTCCTCGCTCTGCCACTCTCTTCTGCCACGCATCGCCCGTAGCCTCCTGTTCTATGATCCTGCAGGTGAAGATCTGGTTCCAAAACCGGAGGGCGAAGGAGCGCAAAGTCAACAAGAAGCAGCAGCAGCAGCAGCAGCAGCCGCCGCCGCCGCCCCAGCTGCCGCCGGCCCTGGACGGCACCTCTGCCCCCGCAGGACCGCCCCTGGGCGGCCTGTGCCCCAGCAGTGCTGGCCTCCTCGCTGCCTCCTCCCCGATGCCTGTCAAGGAGGAGTTTCTGCCCTAGCCCTGCCAGGCTTGTGGCCTGGGGCCTGGGCACTCAGGTGCTAGGGATGGGGCTTCTGTGGGGCCCAAGAGGTCCTACGAGTCCCAGCCCCACTGCTGATCTTTGGGTCACCGTGGACAAGTCACCCACCCGCTCCCTGCATCCTTGGCCCGAGTGTGCCATGAGCTCGTGGCCTGCTGGCTAAGCACCCTCCAGTCCCCGCTTTCTAGACCTCAGGGGAGTCGGGGCCCAGTGCTGGAGGTCTCAGGCTCCTCGAGACATCTCAGGCCCCAGAGCGCTGGGGGACAGAGCAAGACAAGGCCCTGCCTCCTCCTCGTGGTCTTAAGGAGTGAGGTGGGAGGCCACCGTAGGGACCAGACTGACCTGGAGAAGAGTCTCTTACCCAGAGAAGGTGGCAGGTTTGCAGAGCAGGACGTGAGAGGCAGGCTGTGTGGTTCACCAACACTCACCTCTCCTGCTCAGCCTTACCTCGGCCTGCCTCACAGCAGTGTGCCCTGAGTCCTCCCCAGCCTGGATGCTGACACAAAGCCCCTGGGCCTGGACCTGGTGGCCCTCCTTGTCCACTCACCAGCACTCTCAGGGAGGCCTGCAGATAGAGGGACCCTGCAGGGGAGAAGGGGGCTGAGTGCACCCTGCAGAGTCCTACCACTCCACAAGGCTGTCTGTCCATCAGGATTCAGGCCCCAGGGAGCCGCCAGAGACTTTCTCTGGACCAAGCCAAGGTCACAGCTGGACAGATGTTATATAGAGACTGGAATCTTTTGGATGCAGCTTCAAGAATAAATTTTTTTCCTCCTTAAAAAAAAACGTATAGAATCATTATACATAGCATTAAAGAAAAAACAATTAAGGAATCGTTCTCACCCTTCACTAACAATAGCATATTCCCTTCCCATTCTGCAGGCCTACAACAAGGTCACCTTTAAAATACTCCTAAAAGATCAAAACAGGACACTGTTAGAATAAGTCTATGAGATCACGTAGATCGTCTGTGTGCATCTGTGAGCAGAATCGCCAGACTCAGTCTATCAGTCTATTGAATTTTTAAGCCACTTTCAGTTCAGGTTTTTCTTTTAACCGATGACACTTATTGGGCACCCCATGTGCTGTGGTTGGGCCCCAGAAGTAAATAGTCCTTGCCACCCAGGCGTTCCTGGTCCAGTGGGAAGCCTGCCAGGTACGTGGATGGCGCTATTACAAAAGGATAAGAGTCAGTCAGAGCCACGCTCCAGGCATCCCGGGACTCAGAGCATCCAGGGAACAGAGTCAGCTCCTAGCTTATCCTGGAAGGCCTGGGGGGCTTCCTGGAGGAGGCAAGGTTGGAACTGAGACCTGGAGGTCAGGCCAAGAAGGGAAGAATAGTAAAAGTGGGCCGAGGGATGTGAACTTAGAGTCCAAGTCTTTTTGACTCCAGGGAGAAGCCATTGTTCTTTAGGTCCCTTCCAGAGGTGGGCAGGAGTCTGCTACCTGGGGCTCTCTCCCCAGAGAGCTCTGGTGCCAGCTGCCTGCCCCTCTGTTTACTGTTCTGGGAGGTGGCTAGGCCATAAAAAGTGTGCACAGCCTGCTTGCCATTGCCCTTTGCTCCTGGGGCCCAGGATGACAATGCACAAGGTGGACCTGATCCTGGCACGGGCCCTGCAGAGCAGCAGGTGCGTCTCTTTCTCCTCCTACCGGTGGTCTAGGAGAAACCATGGCCCCATCAGTGACAGTAGATGCCTAAGGCATAGGAACCAGATGGCACCAGAGGAGAGGACCAGGGTCCAGAGAAGAAGGGGAGAGAGACAGGTGGAAAGGTAGCCGGCAATGATGAAATTTAGCTTTCTGATCTTTAAATGCCATTCGCTGTGTGACTCTGGGGTAACTGCTTCTCCTCTCTGGACTTCTGTTTCCCCTTGTAAAACTAGGGAGTTTGTCTTCCAGAAATAAGTGACTCTGGTCAAGTAAATTGGGAAAATCCTGCAGATTTCCCCACTCTGGGAGAGCCACACTGTTGTCTCCAACAAGACCCCCAGCCCAAAGTTCCCTTGGATTGTCTTTAATTCAGTGTTCCGCAGGAAGCCCCTGCTAACTCCTCCCTGCCTCCTACCGAACTCCCCATGCTCTGGAGAATGGGCGCTCTGAACTGGAGGACCATGCAGTCCCTGTGAGGGACACAGCGTAGAGCAGCAAGTCTTGTGGTCACATGGCCTGGGTCCCAGAGTGACCTTCCCGGCCGTGCTCCTTGAGGCAGGGTAGTCCGCCACCCTGCCCTCAGCCTCCTCAGGGACCAATGGGAAAGCCGCTGATCTTAGATTGGGTGGAGCATGGGCCCCTGCCTGTGGGCGGTGCTTGTGTTTTAGCCACCTGCTGATGGGGCTGACACCTCCTAGTGTGAAAGGCCTGTGGGCTGATGTTCTAACCATCCCCATCCCCCAGCACCGAGGACAGATGGTGGCTGTGAAGATCTGAGGCAGGACAAGCCTAGCCCCGCCTCAAGAAGACCTCTGCCTGGCAGGAGGCCAGTGGCCAGGCCTGGCAGGTGGGGTGAGCTGTGGAAGTTGCTCAGGAGGCTGGGTGGGCCACAGGCTGGGTTGGTGTCTCCTGTCCATTGGCGTTCGAGTTCCAAGAAAAAGGAAACTCCCACCTAAGGCGACTTCCAAAGAGTGCCTTGGGCTGCCTTGTACCTGTCAGTTTCCTATCACCTGAAGATTTCCACCAGAGTCCGGGGTGTTGTAACAGCTCAGGAGAAAGACACCCCCCCCCCCAGGTCCCGTCAGACCCTGCAGACACCCTAGGGCTAAGAGATGTTCCAGCTTTCCAATAAGGAAATTGTACATGGTGATTTTATGTCCCCTTCTCGGTGGCAGGCCCCAAGCTGGTACTGGTGACCTGGGATCCAAAAATATACGTGTCTCGGTCTGGCCTGGCAAGGCCCACAGCCTGGTCACAGCCTTTTTTTTTTTTTTTTTTTTAATACCTTTATTTATTTATTTAATGTGGTGCTGAGGTTCGAACTCAGTGCCTCACACGTGCTAGGCAAGCGCTCTACCACTGAGCCCGCAGCCCCTGGTCACAGCCTTTTACAAGTCAGAATTGGGCATGTCAATACTGTGTTTGGCATACAATTTGAGGGGTTCACAGACCCCCCCAACCCCAGGTTGGAACCTTTGCTTGTGGAAGAGCCATTGTCTTCACTGACTGCCAGGAGCATTGAGCAGAGCAGGCCCCAGCTGAGCTCTAGGGGGGACTGAGGGTTGGAAGGGAGTGAAGAGCTCTCCAGCAGCCCTCTGTGCGAGTGTGCGTGTGCGCGCGCACGTCTGTGATGGGCAGGGACAGCAGGAACAGGGGCCCAGGAAGACTCAGGATCTCTGAGGAAAGCAGCAGCAGAGAGCCCCGCAGGCCTAGCCCCGGGCAGCTGGGGAGGGCAGCCCCATGGTGGGGGGCTGCTCCGGAACCACTTTCTCTGCACCACACCAGATGGACCAGCAGTCTGGAACCTCGTTCTTCACAGTCCCCACTCCTGGTGTAGCAAAACACATGCTCACAGTGATAAAATCTGATCATTTGGGAGAATTAAAAATGTTTATTTATATGCATTTAAAAATATCTCCCTATATAATAAAGGGAAGTACATTTTCATCTAACACTTTTCTTAAATCAGCTCACATCTTCATTGCACTTCAGGTTGGATGTGAGACCAGGAGAAATACTGAGAGAAGGGGGGGGGGAGGGGCCACTGCGTATTTCCTGAGTGCATTCCTAGGTAGTGATTTTGCGCAGTGATACCCCAGCCCACTCTGGCATGGGGGAGGGGAATATTGTGGCAGCAATAGTCAAGTTCCACCAGAGACTGGGATGTTGTAACAGGTCCCCGTCAGACCCTGCAGACACCCCAGGGCTAAGAGGTGTTCCAGTTCCAATAAGGAAATTTTACATGGTAATTTGGTCACTAACTCCTGACTACTTGTATGATCATAAAACTGGGACTTCAGTGGGAGGGTGATTGATACAGATAACATCTTTAAGATGTTTTAGGTGTTGGGGGGAAGGTGGCAGAGAGGTGTGGCCTGGAGTTCTCTTCATTACTGAGGGATTTTGCCAATCTTGCTCCCTCTGACTTGGTTTCCCCTTCTGAGAGGCATGGACCATTTGACCATTTGCATGCCACAGCCCCAGCGACTGTCACCAAAGCTCAATAGTCACCCCATGATGTATTTGTTCAAGGAAGGCTAACTTCAGGGCCCCATTCACCTCTCTTCCCCCCAGTACTGCTCAGAGGGGTCAGAAAGAGGTCAGTTTCCTTGGTTCCCAAGTCAACAGCCTCTGGCTACTCCCCATTCGTAAGGTTCTCTAACCTTGCAAAAGGCCTGGGGAACCCCATTGCCAATGGGAGGGAGACAGGCTCTGCAAGGCTGCTGCTTCTCCTGTAAGAGACTTAGTGACAAGCCCTGGGCCAGGGCCTCCTTGGATTCAGGGGTACCTGACTTTGGCCTATCTCCAGGCATGGACTGTAGCCCTCCTGGCTTTATCTCCAAAGCACAGAGATTCAGTGTTCTCTGTGACCTTGGGCACATGATTTACCTCCTTTGAGTCAGTTTCCTCAAGTATAAAATGAGATGCATGAACCTATCTTCTCAGGCTGTTGGAAAGGATTAAAAATTGGATTTTGGTGCCGAGTATGGTGGGGCATGCCTATAGTCCTGGTGACTCAGAGATCTAAAGCAAGTTCAAGACCAGCCTCACAACTTGGCTGGAAATGTAGCTGAATTATAGAATACCCTGGGATCAATCCCCAGTACCCCATCACCACCAAAAAAAGGATACTTGATGTAAAAGTTCATCATAACGCACACAGTAGGGCCCAATAACTGTTCCTTCTCTTCACACTCATGGCCCCCTAGGCCTCATAGAGGTAAGGGGCAGAGGGTAGAGGGGACCCTTTCTCCTGGGTCTGGGGAACCCTGGCCTGCCCTGTGTGGGCCATACTCAAAGGCAAGAGCAGCTGAGCAAGGCCTGGGAGGAGAGGCAGCCTTCACCCAAGCCTGCCAGGACTTGAACCCTGCCCAGCTCCTTTCAAGCCCCAGGTTAAGGGCAGAACCTTATCCTCACCTCTCCCCAGACGCCCACCCCCATGGCTGCAACCATGTGCGTGATCAGTGTCTGAACAGGGACACTTTGAAAGCGGTGGGGTCATGGTGTGTAATGTATATGCCGTCCCCTAGCACACCCAGGCTCAGTCCCGGCAAATGGACACATGTGATCTCTCTAGCTAGGAATTTCCCACCCCAGCCACAGGCTCCTAGGATTGCCTGAACATCCTGAGAGGTCAGTCCCCAGCAGGCTGGCAGCTGGCTCATTTTACAAACTCATAACCTTTTTAGGTCATTTATGCAAAGTCATTACCTTCTCAAGGTCATTCCTTGAGTGGCGGAGAACTTGGTGCTGACAACATCATGGCATTTACCTGTCCCTCTTCCTCACTCAAATGTTCCCATTTCATTTTCACCCCAAGGAAAGGAGTACTAAGGACCACCACTGGCCTAGAAGGTCCATGAAGCCTGGCTCTGTCCCTGGTGTCATGCACTAGCTCTGGAACCTTGAGTAGGGACTTAACTCTCTCTTTCAGTTTCCTCATCTGTAAATAGGAGGACTAACACCTGCCTTTCCAGGCTGGGAAAATAAGTCTCTGCCAGGACCTGGCATATTTTAGATGCTCAATAAATATGGACAGATTAGATATTTGGATAAATATCTGCTAATGGTGGATGCCAACAACCCTCAGTCAGCCAATACATGTTAACTGAGCACCTACGATGTGCCAGGCCCTGCGCTAGCTGGTTCCCATGTCTGTGAATTCCTCCACTTCTGTAAGGGAAGTGAGATTCTTGTTCCCATTTTCCAGAAGCAGTTGCAACGCAGAGAACTTAAGTAAGTTCCCAAAGCAGATAGGGGGGATGCTGGATCCCAAGACTGGGCTGTCAAGTGTCCCTGCGCATCACCTGCCTCCTTCCTTGCTCAAGGAAGAAAAGGGAGGCCCAGAGAGGGCAGGTCACTCTCTCAAGGTCACACAGGAGACGGTGGTGGCTGAGGCCAAGGGTTTCTCTGGAAACCCCCCCCCCCTCCCCACTGGCGCTGGCCCCTCCAATTCACAGCTCTGCGTGCGGGGGCGCCCGCATCCCCCAGCCGCCGTCGGTCGGTCAGCGGGTCTATCTGGGTGTCTCGCCAGCTTCGGGCGCTGCGCAGAGAGAGGCAAGTGGTTCGCAGCGCCCGGCCGGGCGCCCCACACCCGCAGCCGTCAGACGGCAGCGCCTGCGCCCGTGCCGGTGCCCACCCCAGCCGGTGCGCGGGAGCCGCCGGGCAAAGGCGCAGCGGCCGGCGGACAGGTGGACGATTTCGCTGCCTCGCCCGCTGTCTGCACCCTGAGAAGCCAAGCCCGCAAGCCCAGCATCCGCCCTCCGAAATGAAGAAGCTCCAGGGAGCTCACCTCCGCAAGGTAGGGCGCGAGGGCCGGGCGCACCTGAGCCGGGGCTGCGGGCCCGCCCGCCTGGCGGCCGCGGAGGCAAGATGGGGTGGGAGGGGTCTTGGCCGCGCAGGGCTCCGCCGGCCCCGCCGAGCCGGACCCCAGGGAGGGGCGGGGTCGGCCCTGGCACGGGGGGGGGAGGGGGCTGGGACGCACGGGGCCGGGGCCGCGCGAACAGGTGGCTGCAGCCCCGGGATGCACCGGGGAGCGGGCAGCCGGGGCCACACGTCCGCCTCTCCCCTGCCCCGCGCCCGCCTCCGCTGATTGCAGGGTGGCGGACCCTAGAAGCCGAGCCAGCCCGGAGCCGGACTGGTTTCGGGGTGGGGGATCAACCTGGCGCGTGTCTTGGTACTCCCCTGGAGCAGCCTCTGCCAGCCTCCAGCAGCCCCACTTCTTTCCTGCCTGCTCCTGCCCCTGGGCCACCACCTGCCTCCTCCCTGTCCCCCTGCCTCTTCCTGGCAGCTTTACGTTCCCCCGTGAGACCGCAGGCTGTCCCTCTGTCAGGCTGAAGGGAAACAGAGGCAGGAAGCGGGAATCGGAGGCCCAAGAGGATGGGCAGTGGAGGTGGAGGGTGGGAGCTGGGGTGGGGACCGAGGCCACAGACTTCAGCCCCTCCCCACCTTTCTGGGTGGGGATGGGCCTCCCAGCCAAGTTTTATGGGTGTGGGGAGGGGAAGCACTGGGGGAGGCTTTCGGGCTTTGGAGTTAATAGTTCCAGCCCTAGCCAAGGAGTCGGAATCCCTGGTTACTATTATTGCAGCTGCCACTTGCCCTGTGACTTTGGACTGCTCCATTCTCTAAGCTGGGCCTTCCCCGGTACAGAGACACTAAAGCCCTCCCTTCCCCTGTGTGAGGTGGAGACACAGGGCACTGTGGGCATAAGGGGAAATGAATGGGAGGAGACATCAGGGGGCTTGTCTCCTCCCCACACCTACTGCCCAACTGCACTCATTCAGGGGCTCTGCCCTGGGCCGCCAGACTCAGAACCTCAGCAGTAGGTGGGTCTTTTTAATTGACCAACCTGAGTGACTTCTTGGGGCCTATTGTGAGTCATTTGGAACCTATACCCATTGTTTTTCACTCTCCTTTCCACAAGAGCCCCTACCCCTCTCTGCCTGTGGCCACACATTATGTAAACAGCCATGTGCCGTGAAGTCTTTCTGGGAGCTTAGCTAACCTTATTTCATTCAATCATCCAATGATTCCTGAAATGAGGTCTTATCATCCCCATTTTACAGAAAAGACAACTGAGGCCCAGAGAGATGAGGCTTATTGCTTACCTGGCAGGAGGCTAAGCAACCTAGAACCAATAGGGCAGTTCTGGGGCCACCTTCTCTCAGGGTCCCTTTTGGTCTTGAACAGAAGAGAGCAGGGAATAAGAAAATGCTAGAATCAGCACCAGCATCTTTCAGAGATGAGCACTGGACTGGGAGTCAGAGGACATGGGTCCTAGTCTTGCTCTGCCTTTAACTTAAATATTTGACCTTGGGCTCATCACTTCCCTTCCCTGAAACTTGGTTTCCTCCCCTACACAACAATGAACTTGGACTTCAGATTCCTATTGTCTATCTCTGTCCTGAAGAAGGGAGGATAGCCATGGCTTGGGCAGTCCAGCCTCTCCCAGCCCCTGCAGTGGGACCTACATTTGCTGATCCCTAAAAGAGAGGGCGGAGGTCTGACAACGCAGGCTTGCATTTCTGCATGACCTTGGGGTGGGGGTGGGGGGTTCAAGATTGAGAGTGCCCACATAGGTGGAAGTGTGAAGTGACTCTTGTAGCTTCTGACCCTGCCCCATTTTTTGGTTCCTATCCTCTGTCTCCCAACCAGTCCCAACCTCCTGGGATTCACCCCACAGTGAGGCAGGGGGCTGCAGGTGGGCTCCTGATTGGCTCAGCTTTGAAGGACCCCATACCCTGGCCCTGGAGCAGGAACAAGCTTCCCTCTGATTGGGGGAGGAGGGGGACGAGCTGTCAGCATCCTGCTCTTGGAACTCCTGTCTCCATGGAAACAGAGCTGGAACTGCTCTGTGAGCATGGAAAGGGCAGCTTCTCTGGAGGGATCAGAGGAGTCTCATTATCAGGACCTCCTGTCAGCTGGCCTGAATGGGGCAGGGGGTCTCAGGTGATAGGCCTGCCTACTGGCTGCTACAGCCTCACTCCCGGAGCCCACCTGGGAGTGAGAGGTTCTAGAAGACTGGTGCTCCCCCAGCCCGAGAGGCGGCCTTAGGGAAAGGGAGGGTTTCATGTGCATGTGGGAACTGCCACCCTCACCTCAGCCTGTCCCCGACCCCAGCTAAGGAACCGCCGGTCCAGCAACCCTTGGAGAATGATATTTTAAAAGCATCTTTGTCATTGTCATGGTCACCATCCCCTTTAATCATGCTAAGCTGTGCTGATCACCAGGCCCAGCCTCAGACAAGATCACTACTACTATGGTCACCACTGTCACTGAGAGTCAGCCCAAGCTGTTATCCCAGTGTTGCCACCACCTGATGCACGGCCCAATTCTGTCACTGCAGCCACACACCCCTGGTCCTGCTGCTCTCATGACATCTCTACTTTTCTGTCACCATTTTTTTTTTTTGGTGGTGCTAGGAATGGAACCCAGGGCCTCACACCTGTTATGCCAGCTGTCTGCCACTGAACCACACGCCCCAGTCCTCCTTGCATCCTCTTGACCCCAGCGATGATGACATGACCAATACCCATAAAGCCTCCCCTGTCACCACCTGCTTAGCATGGACAATCTTAGAATAAGAAACCGGTCTGACCGTAGCAAGTACTGAGCCCCTGGGCAGGGCTCCGATCTGGCCTGCAGATTTTATAAGTGGCTCCAGCAAAATCTCTGGTGAATCTTGGCATGGACCATCAGAACTGAGACTGTATAGACTCACGATTCCCCATGTACATCCTAGCATGCTGCTTTTTGAGACTATTTTTCTGAAATAGAATTTGGAAATACTTCATTCTAGTCCCTATTTGGGAGTCATTATGCACGTTGACTTGTTAAAGTTCCTGTAGCAAAGAAACATGTCCTGTTTTGTGTTAACCCCAGTTTTCCTCAAACCGCTTTGGTTCAAGAATGCTTTTTCCACAGAATACCTATAACATCCCAAGGGACATGTTTCTGAAAATGCTGATCCATCTAATGCCCTCATTGTCCAGAGGGGAAACAGTGGCTCAGAAGGCTTCTGAAGTCTCGCACTGTATTAGCACAGATTTTGGACTAGAATTACAGTCCCCTGACTCTGCTTTTCCTCCAAAGCATGGCTCAGCAGGAGGTGAGGGCTCCTTCTACTTATCTGAAGACCTTGACATTGCTCACCAATAGGCCTGGTACCAACACAGCTGTACATTGCAAAGGCAGGCAGGATGTGGCTGCCCTTTCTCCTGACCATTCCTGGGTCTCTGGCTGAGAACTGCTCTTAGAATTTTAGATGGTCACCCTGGCACTGTTGGACTTCCCTGTAGGTGCTTACAGCCATGGCACTTTGCATGACTTGAGTCCAGGATCCCAAGTGGCTGGAGGCGGGCCACCTCTCCCAGCCCAGCGAGAAGGGAGAATGCCCAGTGGACTTCTCCACCCACTTGGAGTCATGGAAGGGGATGTCAGAGACAGCTGGCCTCTGTTCTCCTCTGCTCTTATCTGCTCTTGTGACAGCAAGATTGCAACTTTCTGAGACAGATCAGGGCTTAAGTAGCTTTTTCCTTCCCAAGAGCCAAAATCCACAGTCCTCAGTAAGCCCCCTTGAACCATAGGGCATAAGTCTAGTCCCTCCCTTAAGGAGCCCACGTCCCACCAAGTCCCACCTTCCGGTGTTCAGGGCTCCCAGCTTCTTCCCTTTGTCCCCCTATAACCTCTTTTCCCGAATACCCTTCCATCTGGCCATCTGCCCTCTGGACATGCTCCACACGTCTGTGTCTGTCTTAGTCAAGTGCCTAGAAAGGAAACAAACTCCAGTATAGTGAGGAAAGACAAGGCCCTTAATCCCGGGAAACTCAGGGCTCAGGACCTAGTTCTTTCTCTAGCCAACCAGGGAAAGACCTTCAGCCTCAGTTTTTCTCATGTTTGGAATGACCCTTAGTTGAGTACTCAACTCAGAGTTGTTTTAAGAAAGAAAACAGGTGATATGAGTAAAATGTTTAGTGCAGTGCCCAGTAGTTGGTGACCATTAGTAAGACCATCACTTCCACCATCACCACCACCATCACCACCATCAGCATCACCTCCACCATCACTATCAGCATTACCACCATCACTTCCACCATCACCACCACCACCATCAGCATCACCTCCACCATCACTATCAGCATCACTACCATCATTTCCACCATCACCACCTCCACAACCATCACCACCTCCACCACCACCATTACCATTACCTCTACCATCACCACCTCCACCTCAACCTCCACCACCACCACCATTATCACCAGTGGTGGCAGCAGCAACATCAAAATAAAACCAAGGCCATCTCTTGATTTGACCTCTGTTAGCTAAGACAGGACCAGGTAGTATTCTTAGTGTCGCAAGCCACCCTGCCAGGCCACGAGGCCCTCCTGCATGTGACCACGTGAGTCCACACAGAGCACTGGGTTGTGTGATGGTAGAGTGTCTTTCCATTCTGCCTGCTCAAGTCTACACTCTTGTCATGGGGTCACAGCTCTAGCCTGGCCTCACTCTCGCTTTCTACTTTGGTCTTACTGGCAGCCCATCACCCCAGACCTGTTGATGACCCCCAGCGACCAGGGAGATGTGGACATGGATGTGGACTTTGCTGCAGACCGGGGGAACTGGACAGGCAAGCTGGACTTCCTGCTGTCCTGCATTGGCTACTGCGTGGGCCTGGGCAACGTCTGGCGCTTCCCCTATAGAGCCTACACCAATGGAGGAGGTATGGGCCTCATGCTGTTGAGGGCTATCAGGGGTGACCGGCCAAGGCTCAGGGTAGAATGAGGTAGAATGTGGTCTCAGCCACTGACTGCTGGAGACCTTGGCCTGGGAGGGGGACTTTACTCTGCCCTGTCCCTTTCCATCATCTATGCCCCTCTCTCATCCCTCCCATGCCCAGGATGGATACCCACTTTGCTGTCTTCCTGAGGCTCAGTACCCACTGGGCCTTGAATGATGGGCAGAGGGAGCTGCCTGGGCTTCCTGATAAAGGCCTGTGTCTGCCTGTAAATAATCAACCTGCTTTTGATATTCTTCCCATCCCTTCCCCCTTCCCTCTCCTCCTCTAGAGTCCTTCTCTGTCAATCATTCCCCCTCTCAAATCTCCAACATTTCTTCCTCTCCTGGTTCCTTCCACTCAGAATGCAAACACAGTCTCTCCTAGATTACAAAAAAAAAAAAAAAAAAATCCTCTCTGCCCCTGCTTCTCCATCACATTACTCTTCTAAGTCTCATTAACAATAGCCAAGTTTGCGCCATTCTCCTCTGCCAGGTCCCTGGGCTAAGCGCCTGTCTTATTTAACCCTGATGACAACCCTCCCAGAGGCTGGGGATATAGCTCCGTTGGTAGAGTGCTTGCCTCGCATGCAAAGGCTTTGGGTCCAATCCCCAGCACCACAAAAACAAAACAAAACAAACAAACAAAAAAACCCTTCTGGGTAGGCACCATGGAAATGATGAGGCTGTTGGGAGCTGGAGAGGCCAGACTCTTTGCCCAAGGTCCCACAGTAGCAGACCCCATAGTCCAACTTGAGACTGTTTTCTCCAGACCTAGCTCCCACTAGGTCTCTGTATTGCCAACAATCTCTGCCAGTCCTACTTTTAAAGCCAGGCTTGGTAACCCATGCCCCAAATTTCGGTGACTTAGGAGACTGAAGCCACAAGTTTGAGGCCAGCCTCAGCAACTTAGCAAGGCCCTAAGAAATTTAGTAAGACCCTGTCTTGGAAAAAAAATAAAATAAAAAGCATTGGGTATAGGGCTCAGTGGTTAAGCACGCCTAGTTTAATCCCCAATACCAAAAAAAGAAAGTTTTTTGATATAAAATGAGAAAAATTCACATAAAACTAGATGAACAAAGCAAAGATACATTTCTGTGTCTAGGAATGTGTGCCTGGAGGGGCCTCCCAAACTCCTGGAATTCCGGCATCTGCAGTTGCCCCTCTACTCTCCTGTTTCCTGCTCTTTCTCTCTGCGTGCTGACCTCATTTTTTCCTGAGACAGGCTTCCTCCCTGTGGTTGGGGGAGCTGCGGTGGAGACATCTCTGGAATGACTCTGAAGCTCCTCGGCCAGGTTTAGCCACCCCAGAGCTTTCCAGAACTGCTCTGTCTGAATGAGTCTCTACAGCATTACAGAGAAGATCTCTGATGTCCCCGGCTTGGGAAATGTGCCCACAGTGGGGCGGGAGGGAGGGCAGAGGCGCTGGCTGGTGTGACGGCAGCTCTTCCAGAGCCATATGGTGGTGGGCGGTTCTCTGAAGGAGAAAGCTGCCTATATGAGAAGAAAAGGGAAAGGATGTTGGCCCACGAAACCACAGGTGGCAGCCACGAGTGTCTGAGGTGGGGTGGAGGAGAGGGGACTGGAGGACTGGGGCCAGATTCCGCAGAGCATTGACTTCTGCCGTGAGGAGTTCACACTTCTTCTATAGAAAATCCCTTCATCCCCTGGTTCATTCTCAAGTGTCTGCTCCCGTCAGCCCTGTTCCGGGCACCGGGTGCTCTCAGTGGCCTGGGATGAAGAGACGACAGCCCTGCGAGTGCACAGTCCCAGTGGACAGGAGCAGTGCTGTGTGCACCAGCCGGTGGTGTCTGACCACGGGGGCGTTGCGGGTGGCTAGAGCTGGGCACGGGGGGCGCTGACCCACCGAGCCCCTCCAACCTTCCTCCTTGCAGGTGCCTTCCTGGTGCCCTACTTCCTCATGCTGGCCATCTGCGGCATCCCCCTCTTCTTCCTGGAGCTCTCCCTTGGTCAGTTCTCCAGCCTGGGACCCCTGGCTGTCTGGAAAATCAGCCCCCTCTTCAAAGGTGAGGCCTCCGTGGTCCCTGGGCTGGGCCTCTGGAGGCGGGGAGGTTGCTCTACTGCACCCACTAAGCTCCAGGCAGGGGGACGTGAAGCCCTGGGCAGTGACAGGTTCCCAGAGGGCCACTGCGCCTGGCTGCAGAGTTCTGCAGAGGGCGAGGCCCAGCGACCCAGCGGCCCCCCTCTGCCCCTCAGGTGCGGGCGCGGCCATGCTGCTCATCGTGGGCCTGGTGGCCATCTACTACAACATGATCATCGCCTACGTCCTCTTCTACCTCTTCGCCTCCCTCACCAGCACCCTGCCCTGGGAGCACTGCGGCAACTGGTGGAACACAGGCCGCTGCCTGGAGCACCGGGGCGCCAAGGAGGGCAACGGGGCGCTGCCCCTCAACCTCACCAGCACCGTCAGCCCCAGCGAGGAGTACTGGAGGTCAGGCAGCCCCGCCTGGCCACGGGCCCAGGGTCCCCTACACCGTGCAGGGCAGCCGAAGAGAGGGTGGGGACACAGCAGCACCCCCAAGGGGCTCAGTGTCATCTCAAAGGCAGAGTCCAGGTGCTAGGGTGGGAGGACTCTGGCCTCTAATGCCAGCCCTTCACCTGCCAGTGGTGTGACCTGGAGCAATCTGCTTGGTGCCCGTCGCTTTGTCTTTAGAACGAAGGCGATAATAGTAGGTATTTCCGAAGCCGTTGCATGTAAATCAGGCAGTCCAGTCTGGTGGGTAGTAAAGGCTCAGTAAAAGCTCGCTGGTGATAATGATGGTGTTGGTGATGACAGTAACAGTGACACTCTGGAGTCTGTTTCCTCCTTTGTGACAGTGATAATAGGATGCTAACCACTCATGTACTCATTCATTTTTAATAAGTATTTATTGGGCACCTATTACATCAAAGGGCAAAAAGCATACACAGTAAAGAGCATGTCAGATTAGTCGTAGAGGAGAGTCGGGTCTATAATGGAGCAGGACAGCTGTGAGATTCAAACAAGGAAATGGCGTAAAGCCATCAGCACAGGGCCAGGCACACTGTGAGCCCTGGGAGCCATGGCCATCAGAAGGACATCGCGGCTTATCAGCCTGTCCCAGTGCCCCATTTTATAGCCGAGGAAGCAAGGCCCAGAGGCTTGCTCAATAATTAATGGCAGAGGCAGTATTGACACTCAGTACTTCTGATTCCTAATCTCATGGAACATTCTAGAGTAGCCTGATCTCTGGGTAGGGGCCATTGGCTGGCCAGAGGTACCACCATCCCTGCCTCTGCATGGAGCTGCTTTTAGGAATTTCTCCCAAATGGGCCTCATATCTTAAAATATGTCAGTCCCTAACATGGTCCATCTCTCTGTTCCATTTCGAGGCCTCCCAAAGTTCTGTGCCTGCTGAAGAGTCTTTCTGACCCGTAGGAAAGGACAAGCCAAAGAACTTGATGTGTCTCTGGAAGCTGCCAGGGGTCTCCATGGCAATGCCATGGCCCACTGTATCAGATGGGTGGGGGCAGGAGGCGGATGGCACTGAAGGGGGTTTAGTAAAAGGGCTCCACAGAGGGTCAGGGAATCCACAAGGAAACGTGGGGCACATGGAACAGGTGGACACCTGCCCGCCCTGAACTAAGGAGGCGAGGGGAGGGAATCAAGGGAAAAGGAGCCTTGGACGAGGGCTGCCCAGCAAGAACCATGGCTCAGAGGGATATAGGCACAGCTGGACTCTTGGATGGCACATGGTCATGTGCAAGTGTGTATAAACATGTGTGCAAATGTCCACACCCTCACCTCTCCACCATCAGCCTCCCGCTGTCACCTCCCCTCACCCAAACCCAAGTGGAAGTGGAAGAGGAAGGGAGCCTGATGTGGGGCCAGCAGAGGCCAGCCTCCTGGGACAGGCTGGTCAGGAAAGGATAGGGGGCTGTGAGGAGAGGCACGGGGCCTGGCACGGTGGACACAGCTTTGCCCCATGCTTGTAGAGTGTGGCAGGATGACAGAGGACGCTCTTTATCTCCACAGCCGCTATGTCCTGCACATCCAGGGCAGCCAGGGCATCGGCAGTCCTGGGGAGATCCGCTGGAACCTCTGCCTCTGCCTGCTGCTGGCCTGGGTCATCGTCTTCCTCTGTATCCTCAAGGGTGTGAAGTCCTCGGGCAAGGTGAAGCCCGGGAGACCAGAGACCTGGGGGCAGGGCAGAGGTTCCCAGAGGCTGGGATAAGGACAGGCTTCCCTGGGAAGAGGGGAGGGGTAGGTGTTGAGATGGGGACATTACTGATGACAGATGGGAAGTAAGAGGGATCAGGGGAAGGCCACTTTGCCAGACCAGAAGCCTGCTGAGGGCAGCATCCACAGGGTTTTCAAGTTGACATCCTTACCCTGGGTTTGGCACTTTGGAGGGGCCCAGCAAGTTTGTTGAGTGCTCAGAGGGTGGGTATGAATCAGGGCTCTTGGAGATGCCTGTGACCTGACCCCAGATGTTACACTCAGTTGGAGTCCAGAGGGTGTGCTTCAGGCACAGTTGGGTCCAGGGGTTTCACGAATATTTTCAGTAATTGGCTTTTCTGGTCTCCCAGCAATGCATTGCCCTGTGTGGTCTTCCTTTAGGCTTCAGGCTTTGTTCCTGAGGTTGCCCCAGCAGCTCTAGACTTAGACTTGACCTTCTCGATGAACATTTCACCTTTTCCTCAGTATCTTGTAGAATTTAGTCTTGCTGGGTAGGCTGGGCTGTGCCCCAGTCCCTGAGCAGATCTCTGTGGCTGGGAGAGTGAGGTGCCTGTGCTGAGGATGGAGTCCACCCCACTAGTGCAAGTTGGGGTACCGTTACCTGAAGAAGGCAAACTAGATGCTGAGGGGACAAAGCCACAGGAGTCCACTGTAGGGAATGGAGGGGCAAGGAAGCCATTTTCGAAGAACTTGGAAACCTTCTGCCGCTCACTTGGTCATTTGTAAATTACAACTTGTCTCTCTGCTAAGTGCTGAGGGGTGCTGACCCCAAGAAACAGAGCTAATAAAAGAAGACAGGGCAGGAAGCATATAGAAAGAGAGGAGGGGTGCTGAAGGTCACAGCCAAGGCAGGGAGGGATGCTCTCTCACAGGGTTCAAGAAAGAAGTAGTTGGAGGGCTGGGAGAGGGAAGAGGAAGGACAGAGGGGAGTTTGGGGGTGATGACCTCACAGAGCAGGTTTGCAGGGGCAAGGTGAAGTCCGGGAGAAGTCCGGGCACAGGCCAGGGTGAGCCGGCCACTCACCAGTGATGCTGGCCTGGACCAGGGGCAATAGTGGAGATGGACCTGGGGTGCACTTGGGGAGCAGGGTGACAGCACTTAGTTGATGGTTAGATGGAGGGTGGCAGGAGGGACGGAGGAGACGCACACAGGATGATGGCTGGCTCCTGGCTTGTGCCACCTGAAGGTAGGGAAGGAGAGTGTCTCTGATGAGGATCTCAGGAAGAGGAGGGGTTGGGGGGTCCCCCACCTTCAGCTTCCCACTGGTCACTTCTCAGGTGGTGTATTTCACGGCCACATTCCCCTACCTCATCCTGCTCATGCTGCTGGTCCGCGGAGTGACCCTCCCTGGGGCCTGGAAGGGCATCCAGTTCTATCTCACCCCCCAGTTCCACCACCTGTTGTCTTCCAAGGTGAGGTTCTCGGGGCGGGATGCAGAGCAAGGGGTTGGACCTGAATGGAGGAGCGGAAAGAGGGCTCCAGGGAGTGGGGGAACCGAAGGCAGGAGACCTCCAAGTGGGGAGCTCCCAGCAGCAGGCACTGGGGCTGGTCTTTCCTATATACTCATGTCATTTATCATCCTTTAAAAAATCCTTTGAAGTAGACATTATTCTCCCCATTGTATGGATGAAGAAACTGGGGTCCACAGAATTAGTGACAAGCTTAAAGTGACATAGATAGAGAGTGACAGTGGGAATCTCAGCCCAGATCTGATGAACTCCATACAAGGAAGGCATTAGGAATAATGACAAGAACAACAGGGTACCAGCAGCTAACATTTATTATTTATTGGCCATGACAGTGCCTGACTGTGCCCTGGCATTGAGCTCTGGAGCAGTGGTGCAGTCCTTCCTGCCCTGGGATCAGCAATTCAGGGTGACGATGTGGCTTCCTGGGGCTAAACAGCTACTAATTGGGGAAGCTGGGACTCAGTGCAGGTCCCTCTGACTCTAGGCAGGAAGTCAAGGGTTACCTGGGCTTATTGTCAGATGAATCCACTGCAAACTACGTTAGGTGCTCCTTCCTTTACAACTGAACCAAGCTTAGAGGTGAGCTATATGCTAGGTGGGAAACCGAGGCCCCGAGAGGGGAAAGGAGCCCCGCACACCCCACAGTGGAAGTCGGAGCAGGGTCTTTCCTGGCCCATGTCGTGGGGCTGGCTCTTCCCCATGCCTGTCCCCCAGCCCAGCCCCGTCCCTTGCTTCTCTTCCTGGGCCTCTGCACACCGCTGTAAACCAGCCCCTTCTCTCCGCCCTTCACCTCTGTCCTTCGCCCACACAGGTGTGGATCGAAGCTGCTCTTCAGATATTCTACTCCCTGGGTGTGGGCTTCGGGGGTCTCCTCACCTTTGCCTCCTACAACACATTTCACCAGAACATCTATAGGTCAGTGCCTGCAGTTTCCCCGCAGCCTGGGGTTAAAGCAGGAAGGAGAGTGGCGGGCCAGGGAGGGCCTCAGGGGTAGAGGGTGTGGCCGGCTCACTCTGGCCTGTGCCCGGACTTCTCCTGGCAGAGACACCTTCATCGTCACTCTGGGCAATGCCATCACCAGCATCCTGGCTGGCTTCGCCATCTTCTCCGTGCTGGGCTATATGTCTCAGGAACTGGGTGTGCCTGTGGACCAAGTAGCCAAAGCAGGTGGGCAGGCTGCCAGGTGTAGTGTGAACGCACGTGTCGGCCACAGCTGGGGCTGGGCCAGGGAGCATACGTGTGGACCAGAGAGGTTGTGGATGGGTATGCTGTGTGTGTGTGTGTGTGTGTGTGCACGTTGCACAAATGTGCATGCAAATGAACATCTTTTGGTTGGTCTCTGGATGTCCAAGTGCAAAGGCATAGGTGTGCAAATGAGTGTACATTAATCTGTGTCAGGAGGTAAATGAGTTTTTGTAGGAGATTGTCTTATCTTTCCTGCCTTGTTTGTCCAGTTGTGTCACTTCCTGGGTGAGACGTCTGTGTGTAAGTGAATCAGAGTGAGGATGATCTTGTGGATCAGTGTGCGGTGCCAGTGGATATGGAAGTGTGTGTTAGTGAGATTCTTGGTACAAACAAATGTGTGTTCTAATGAGGTTTTATGTTTGGATCCTGTGTTTGTCCACCCACTCATTATCAAGACCCTCGTTCTGTCAGGTTTTTATTGAGCACCTACAATGTGTCCTAGGAGTTAAGACAGCGTTGGAAGGGTACATTCAGTGTATGTCTCTGAGTTGAGCTAAATGAGCATGCCCAAATGCGTGTGTGTGATCGTGTGTATTTGAGTGTGAATGTGGGGGCCATGGCATGCCCCAAACTGCTGACCCCGTGTGCCCTTGGCCCAGGCCCCGGCCTGGCCTTTGTGGTCTACCCACAGGCCATGACCATGCTGCCCCTGTCCCCCTTCTGGTCCTTCCTCTTCTTCTTCATGCTTCTGACCCTCGGCTTGGACAGCCAGGTGAGCCTGGTGCCTGGGCTGGGCTGGGGTGTGGGTGGGGGAGGCAGAACCCTGACCCCAGCCTGCCGCCCCCACCGTCCAGTTCGCCTTTCTGGAGACCATCGTGACAGCTGTGACGGACGAGTTCCCGTACTACCTGCGGCCCAAGAAAGCTGTGTTCTCAGGCCTCATCTGTGTGGCCATGTACCTGATGGGGCTGATCCTCACCACCGACGTGAGTAGGACCGCAGGGAGGATGGCGGGAGCTGGACTCTGGTACCTGTGGCCTGGAGGAGTGGTCACTGAGCCGCCTACGAATCCCCCTTTTGAAGGAAGCTGTCCCTCCCAGGCCCGGTCTCCCCAGGGAGGTCGCTTGGCCTGTTGATGGAGAGTCCTAGTCTGAATGGCCTGGGTCACGCTTCACTCCTGCTTGAGTGACCTCAGTTGACTTCACCTCCCTCAGCCTGTTTCTCCTAACTGGTAAAAGGGGGGTTCTACAGAGCAGGGAGGCTCCCTGAGGTGCCGCTGGTATAGGGCTGGGCAGGTAGACGCCGTCACATGGCGTCACAGGGCTCCCCCGGCAGCCTCTTGCTCACTCCTGCCAGGACAGGCAGCTGCAGCGGAGAACGAGGCTGGGCTGAAGGGGACCCTAGAGCTGTGTCTTGTGTTCCAGGGAGGCATGTACTGGCTGGTCCTTCTGGATGACTACAGTGCCAGCTTTGGACTGATGGTGGTCGTGATCACCACGTGCCTTGCCGTCACCCGGGTGTATGGTGAGAAGGCGGGGGAGGCAGAGTCCAGACTCCCTGAGGTGGGAGAATGGAGTCTACCTGGGGCCCCTATTGCCTGGGTCCCTGGCCCCAAAGGCCAGGACTTCCAGTGGGGATTTGGGGTGGAGGAGGGGCTCTGGCAGTCTCGGGCTACGGGTAGGGCCATTCCTCCTCCTGCCCTCCCCCTGTATGCAGGCATCCAGAGGTTTTGCCGAGACATCCACATGATGCTGGGCTTCAAGCCGGGCCTCTACTTCAGGGCCTGTTGGCTGTTCCTGTCCCCAGCCACACTCCTGGTAACCACGGGTGGGTGGGGGGTGGGTTGGTGGCTGGGGCCCCCAGGCTGAGCACGTGGGTCCCCTCTGTGAACTCAGTCTGGTAGGGCCACCCTGGCCCAGAGTGGAGTCTATGGCAGGGCTGCAGGGTGGGCATGAGGATCCTGACCTTGCTCCCCCTGCAAGGCCCCCAACTTTCATAGCTCAGCTGAGCTGAGCTCAACAGTTCTTTGGCAAAATGGGTGGGACTTTCCCAGGCCCAAGGGCCTCAGGGCTGGGGCCTTGGCACTGTGCTTTCTTGGTCTTTTCTTGGTCTTGCTTTCTTGTGCTTCAGAACTGGGCAGTCCCAGGCCTTAGTGTTGGTCAGCTTGGAGCTGGGCTAGCCCCAACCTTGCAAAGGCTTCAGAGATGGACCATCTTAGGATCTGGTATAACTTAGGATACTGCATGGCTTTGGGCTAAGCTCTCTCAGGTCTTGGGATGGTCCTGGGCTGGCCTATTTCAGGCTTTAAGGTAGCTCAGACTGGGTCATCACAAGCCCTGGGGCCCACCTGAGGCCCCTGTGATGCTGGAGGTCACCCACCCTGCAGGCCCTGCTGGTGTATAGCATCGTCAAGTACCAGCCCTCAGAGTATGGCAGCTACCGCTTCCCCGCCTGGGCCGAGCTGCTGGGCATCCTCATGGGCCTGCTGTCCTGCCTCATGATCCCAGCTGGCATGCTAGTGGCTGTGCTTCGAGAGGAGGGCTCTCTCTGGGAGGTGAGTCTGCACCACCCTGTCCACCTTCAGCCTTTCTGACCTGTGCCCTGCCCTGGGCCTTCCACTAGAACAGAAAACACTGGCCCCCACACCGTATCCAGGGACCCACATGAACTGGGCAGATTCAGGGGCTCAAGTTCTACTCGTGGCTCCTCACAACAAGAGGGGCCTTGGAGGACGGAACTGGACCAGTCCAAGTCCAAGGTCCCCCCATGAGTGGAACAGAGAACGGGGCTTAAACTCAGGTGGCCAGCCCAAGTTTTTATGTGGAATTCAGTCAAAAGACCACTGAGAGACTCCAGAGGGTGGGCTGTCACCTTCTCCTGTGCCCAAGAGTCCTGCTGTATCTCATAGGTGGCCAGGGATAGAATGATGGTGTGAGGACTATGGACAGGGCTTTGTGGAGAGACCTAGAAAACAGAGAGTACAAGCTGTTGGGCACAGGGGTCAACTGGCCTTGAAAGAGGGAAATAGTGACCTGCTATGGGCCAGCAGGTGAGCTGTTTGACCACAGTAGATTCTGCCCCGCTCTGAGCATCAGGGCACCATCTATGCACTGAGCCCTTCACTTTTGAGGCTGTGGGCTCAGAGTCTCTGGTGGCCAGAGGCTGACATCATGAATTAAGCTTGGAGGGAGCCTGAGACCAGACAGAGCCTGGAGACCACCCTCCCAACACCCATCCTACCCCCTCCCTAACCTTGTCCTATAGCAATAGAGCAATAGAGCCAGCTGGTCCTGTCCCATGAGAGCTAATGGTTAAATATTCAGGGATGTATGTACCTGTTGTTAAACCATTAATAGCTTGGATTCCATAGAGGTGGAGAATCAGCTACAAAGCAGGCCTTCCATTCCCTCCCGCTCCCCCTCCACCTTCCCTCTCCCTGGGGCCAGTTTACCAGCACAAGACTGCCCCCTGCCACCCTACTGCACTGACCTTCCGCTGCCCTCAGCTCACCTCCATATCTCTACCTGGAGGAAGGTGCATGCCCTCCACCCCTCAGCAGCAGACAGGTTGTGGCCGCACACCTCAGACCATAGGGGCTCTGCTTCCAATTGCTGTGTGACATGAGCAAATCCTTCCCTTCTCTGAACCTTAGAACCCTCCTCTCCACCACCTTGCTACTAAAGGGGTGGTCTGCAGGGAGTCTGCACAGGGAGGCTGCTCGGGTGCCAGCTTTAGCTCCCAGGAAGCCCAGGGTCCTTAACCCTGCTGATGGGCCCCTGGCAACACTGGGCTCCCTGCAGCCACCACCTCCCGCCCTCCCTGCTGCAGAAGCTGCCCACAAACCCAGTGGAGCATGCGTCCTGCTGGGGCTCCCTGGGAGGGACGGTCAGCACTGCAGAGGAGCCGCTGCCTAGCTCAAGAGTGCTGTCTTCAGAGACCAGGGCTTCCAGCATGGACTCCTTAGGATCAGAATCCTAATTCTGCCATTTGCCCACAGCAAGAATGATCCTAAGCAAGTTACTGCACTTCTCTGAACCTCAGTTTCTCCAGCTTTAAATAAGGACCGCAATAGCTACTCTGTGAGCCCATGGTAGTCAGCATTGTGGGGGCAGAAAAGCAGAATATTCAAAACATGTAGGATGGCGTCAGATTGCCTGGGTTCAAATCCAGGCAACTTAACTGATCTCTCTGAGCATTAACTTTCAGACACATCTATGTGGGTGAAGGGTAAGTATCCCCTCTCAAGAAGATACTGTAAAGATTAAATAAGCTAACTCTTAGCTGGAATATGCCAAATGCTCAATGATAGGCCAGGAGTTCCCACAGAGGGTGATTTTGCCCTCAGAGGGCACTTGGCAACATCTGAAGACATTGTCAGTTGAGATAGAGGGGATAAAGGGGACAAGGCCATGCTACTATCATCAAGCGGGCAGACACCAGTGATGCTGCTAAACATCCTTCCAGGCACTGGGCAGCCCCACCATAGCCCTGGAATTCTCCAGACCAAAATGTCAGTAGCGTTAAGCTGGAGGAACTTGGTCTGGGCACTGGAGTTCAGCTGGGAACATATGCAAATCCCTGCTCTCAAGGTGCCTGTGTTCTAAGGTGGGAGACGAGGCAGGCAGTAAACACACCCTGTAGTAGTAAGTGCTATACTTAAAACAAACACAAAACAAAAATCAGAAACCAGAGTTTCAGGAATAGCCAGGGTGTTCAGAGAGAACTGGGGAAATGGACACAGTGATCCATGTAGGTGTTTAGGGGGAGAGCATTCTAGGGCGATGGGGGTAAAGCCCTGGAAACTGTGAGGAGGTGGGTGCCACTGGAGCAGAGGGAGTGGAGGGAAAGTGGCAGGCACCAAGGTCAGGAAGGTTCATGGGACAGGAGACAGAGCCCATGGTAAACACTTTGGCTGTCATTCAAAGTGAGAGGAGAAGCCATTGCAGGTTTCTGAGCAGCAGGGTTCCTGCCTCTCAGTAAGTGTCACCGTGCTGGGAAAGTCAAGTGTGCAAGGCCCTGGGCCAAGAGCATTACACACAGTATCTCCCCCAGGACCTGCAGCCTGTGGCTTCCCTTACGGTCAGTGGCCTCCCTTTCCCTGAGGGAGTGGGGCTTTCCTCCCCGGCAGGGCAGGCAGAGGGCTCTGGGAACGGGGTCCAGGAAGGAGGAACTCTGGAATGTCCAGGCTTAGTCATCATCTCAGCAGCACCCTCCTCCCGTGGAAGCAGGGGCTCGGAGAGGGAACGGTTAGAGTCAGGGCGGAGAGAGGCCCGAGGGCCAGCTGTCACCCCCACCTTGTTTCTCCGGTCTCATGGCTTTTTCCTAAAACCTCCAGTTCCTTTGGATTCAGCATTTAAAGGAAGGGACCCGGAGGGGACCTCTCCTGGATCCACCTTGGGATGCTCAGGAGAGGACCCTGCCCCGTGATCATAGCAGCCAAATTCTGCATAGCCTTGCCCTGTCCCCAGCACTCTGCCAAATGCGTCATCTCAAAGCCCTCACAATGACCCTGTGAGAGCTCCTGACTCCCAAGTTACAGACGGAACCTGCAGGCTACCCAGCTTGTAAGCGGCAGAGCAGGGTTCTCATTCAGACATGGAACCACTCCTTTGGGGAAGTAGTAGAGCGCCCCCTCCACCTGGGGTTGTTGCAAGGACTCAACCAGGTGACTGGTCAGGCCTTTGCTGGCTGCCTGGCCGCAGAAAGCACTCAGCATCTGCTGGTGTCTCTACGGCTGTCTCTGCTCTGTCACAGAGGCTCCAGCAGGCCAGCCGGCCAGCCATGGACTGGGGCCCGTCGCTGGAGGAGAACCGGACAGGCATGTACGTGGCCACGCTGGCTGGGAGCCAGTCACCCAAACCATTGATGGTGCACATGCGCAAGTACGGGGGCATCACCAGCTTCGAGAACACGGCCATCGAGGTGGACCGAGAGATTGCGGAGGAGGAGGAGTCCATGATGTGAGGCAGAAGGCAGGCAGACGGGAGGCCCTGTCTGGGGCCACACAGGCCCTCTATGGGGGCTGCAAGAGGCAGCTATGACTGCCGGGAATCTGAGAGGCTATGGGAGATTGCTACAGAGATGCTGGTGTCCCCAGGACAAGTTGAAGTCTCTCCTGTGACCTCTGCCTTGCCTGAACCCTCTGGCCAGCCCCCTACACACACACACACATCCTTCAAAATGAGAAGACAGTTCAGCCTTCACTTTGCAGATGAACATGTGAGGCCAAGGAGGGTGGGGCCTGGCCCAAGGTCACATGGCCGAGAGGACTTGGCCCCCAGCCTCTGAACTGGTTGCTCCCTTTCTCTTGGGGCAGTGGGCACCACATTCCCATTTCATTCAGGGCCCAGATCCTCCTTTGCTCCAGAAGCGGTCCTTCCACACTTTCACACAACTGAACTTGAACCTGGGGTTCAGGGCAGCCATAGGCATTTGAAGCTCCCAAGTCGCTGGGAGTTAAAGGTCAATAAATTAAGTGAGGAGAAAGATCCCTGTGGGTTCCTGTGTGCAGGCAGGCTCCCTGAAGGGGTGGGAGCCGAGGGTCCTGGAGGAGGAGGAGGTTTGCAGAGAGGGAAAAGAAGGAGGGCCTCAGCCAGAGCTGCCTGGTGGGGCCAGGAGGAAGCTGACCTGCTGGGTTGAAAACCAAGAGTGGCCAGAGATGCTGGGGTTAGGTTCCAAGAGGGCTCAAGTCAGAGCGAAGAACAGCAAGGAGAGAGGAGAGGGACGGCTGGGGGTGGGAGGGGATTTGCATGATACAGAATATCATTTTGGACCTGTGCAGGGTTGGTTAGGGGACAGGGTAGAAGTGGGAGGCTGTGGAGGGCGGGGTGGAGGTGCTGGTGGCCTGAATTAGGACCTGGAGTGGGGGTGGGGAAAGGAAGGCTGTCAGAGAGGCCATACCTTCACCCAGTGGACCTTGTGCCCTGCGCCTGGGAGGACAAACAGCCTCTGCTGTGGAGGTAGTCTCAGTCAGGGGTCTTAGGATCCAGGGCCTCTCTCCCCTCTGCCCCATCCTGGCAGCCCCTACCATCACCTCCAGCTCCAGGCGCTGCTGGAAAATTGGTCTTGGCTGTGAATGTCAAGGGCAACTGAGGGTCTCAGAGATGGTCCCAACAGGATCATCTGGTCCTGATGCCACCCACCCTGCTCCGGGGAAGGCATGAGGGCAGAGGGCAGTCCTGGAGCTGTGGGTCCCTGAGAAATGAGATGCGCAGGCATGCTGAGCCGGTGTCCAGCACATGGCCCTCCCGGGTGCGGCAGGTGTCCCCGGGGGGCTATGGCGGGCCCTCCTGTCCTGCCTCTCCTGGCATCTCCCCACCCCTCTGTGTTCTCTTGGTTGATTGTTAATAAATACCAAATGAGGTCATCCTCCTACAGTGTCTCCTTACTGCTGAGAGTGGAAGGCAGGCCGCACAGGGTGCTCCGGCTCCCACTGGACAGATGGGGAAACTGAGGCTCAGCCGCCTCCTTCCCAGCTCTCCTGGCTTCTGACTCTTGCTCTGCCCTTCTCTGTGGCAGTGGTGGGAGTGGCAGGGAGCTGAGGAAGGAAGATGAACTCTGGGCCCTTAGAAACTACATATGTCACATATGGACAAGCTGAGGTCCTCATCGGGTGAGCCACAGACCAGGGTTCGCAGGCATCACCCTCCTCAGCTGCCTTCTTTCCCTCTGCAGCGTCCCCTCTACCCTTCCTTCAGGTGAGGGCTGGATCTGGAAGACCAGGTTTGGGAGGAGCCTAGGGGGTCCCAGGGAAGAATCTCCTGGTCTGCCCACCCACTGGAGGCAGGGCCTTGCCATAAGAAAGGGCCGCAGGCCTTGCAAATGCGAGGCCCAGGTGTTTGCAAGGCTTTGATTGGGGTGGAAAGGAAGGGGCTGTGCTTTGGGGGATATTAATAAATTTCCCTTTACAAAGGGCCAGGCCCTTCCCATCTCTCTTTGTTCAGGGCTCCAGGTGGGGGAAAGAGACCAATTTGCTAATTTTTTTTAGGGGGAGGGGTACTGGGGATTGAACTCAGGGGCACTCAACCACTGAGCCACATCCCCAGCCCTGTTTTGTATTTTATTTAGAGACAGGGTCTCACTGAGTTGCATAGTGTCTCACCATTGCTGAGGCTGGCTTTAAAATCTTGATCCTCCTGCTTTAGTCTCCCAAGCTGCTGGGATCATAAGCGTGCACTACCAGGCCTGGCTCCAGTTTGCTAACTAACTGAGGATGGGGAATGGCCTTCACCAGGCATTCTTCCCTCAGCCAGGGCCAGGCTCCTGGCCGGGACACTGGTGCTCATAGTTCCCAGTCTAAGGAATAAGCACTGGTCGTGGAGGCACTCCTCACCCGGGCGTGAGGTTGGAGGGTCTTGGAGACTCTGGGTCCCACCTGCTTCCCCTCCCACCTCCCCTTAGCTCCTCTCCCCTCCCCTCCCCTCCCCTCCCCTCCCCTCTGTGCCATCCCAGCCCAGGGCCTAAGTTTCCTGTACTGGCCTTCCCTGGCCCCATCCTTATTCTGTCCTGCTTTTTCCATTTCCGATGCTCTCAGACAGCTCTTCCTGCCCCTCCACTCCTCTCTGCCACCCTCCCTATTTCCCAGCTGTGCCCATCCAGGTCCCATCCATCCAGGCCCTTTACTGACCCCAAAAGACCCCACCCAGGCCCTGCCCCTCGAGGGAACTGACTGGGAAAATGTCAGCTCTCTCCGGGGTAGGACCCCAGTGTAGAATTCCTAGAATGTCCTGGCAGGTGGCCATCCCAAGGGCCCAGAGGGCCAGTCAGGGAGCCCAAGCAAGAAAAGTTATTGGTATAAGTGGGAGAAGAACTGGCAGCTGACCCTTAGTGGGTGTTGGAGACACAGGAGTGGGTGGGGGGACTCTGGGGCAGTAGGGAAGGCAGCAGGCCTCTATTAAGAAGTCTGGGTCTCGGCCACCAGATCTCCTGGCTTTTTTTTTAAAGTCTGGGATTTTGCAAGAAATTTCGCAATTTGAACCGTGGGCAAAAGATGGCGAGGAGCACTGCTCCATTCTACCTCCAGTCCTCTCCCGCAGGCTGACTGCTCTGCAGACTTGGGGGTGAGGAGCCCAGAGGACAGAACTTGCCCGAGGTCCCACATGAGAATGTGCCAGGACTGTCCACCCCCACGTGGTCATCTACTTGGCTCAGTCCATTTCTGTGTCCTTGGGTCCTGAAGTTGGGAGGCTGCACGCATGCCTGCCTGAGTGTGGCAGAGGGTGCTTTGGGGCCCTGCATTTTTCTCAAAGACTTTTCAAGTAAATATTTCCTTAGGTTCCAGGAAACAATGAGAGGAGACTCGACTATCTGCTGTCACTTGCAGCTTCTGATCTCAGAGTGCAAACATGGAGGGAACAAGGGAAGAGGAGGGGGAGGGGCTCCTTACCACTCCATTAGGGACAGCCAGATTCCCAAGGTCAGGCGAGGGTCAACAGACACCAGGAGTCACACTGGTTACATTAGTGTTTGGTCCTCTGCAGGCTCCACCCTCTGGGCTCCCCTCCACTACCCTAACCAGGTTCAAGTCCTCGCTATACCCTAAGCAGGCCCACGCGATCCTGCTTCCTCCCTGACCCCATGTCTTCCCATCCACCCGCTAGAATCCTAGCCATCCTTTTAGATACCTCCTGAAGACACCTCCTCCATAAGCCTTCCTCATTTCCCAACCAGCTGTGGACTCCTAGAATCTTCAGGGGGTCTGACTCAGCCCTATATCTGGTGAGTCCCGATGGCCCAACCTTGCCCGGAAAGGGCACTCCCATATTTCAGAGACAATGCATCTTCTTTCTGTGTAGTTAAGACTCTTTGATCACGTTCCTGGGAACTCAGAGCCCAGGGTGGCAGCAGGAGATTGTGCAGAGGGCTCAGATGGTCTAGCCACAGACCTAGGCCCACTCCCAGCTCCTCCCTCCTGAGCCATGCAATCCAGGCGGGGGTCACTTCACTTGTCTAAACTGTAGTTTCTTCAAAGTTTTCCTTTTCCTCCTCTGTAGCAATCTCATAAGGGGGTGGGGATAATGTTCTGGGCCTCTGCACTGGCCTGGGTCTTGGTGGCATAAGACCCACATCTATTAATTGAAGGAACCCATTTGTGTCCATGGTCTCTGCCCCACCACCAACTCTTCCAGAACAGAGACTTGTCACTCACACCTCTGCACGAGGAAGTGGCAAATCAAGCACAGTTCTCTGGTGGCTCTGGGGGCAACCAGCAAAGAGTTAAGACAGTTGCAGTCCCCTCTGAATCTCATGTGACCTGGGTTGTGCAGCCTCAGGGTCTGCGGTGGCCACTTTTTCCAGACTCATTTTTTGCTGGTGGCTCATGGAAAGTTTGGCTCCTTTAGCCACAGGCCACTCCCTCTGGGGACTGAGGCCTCGCTGATGCTGGTCCTGCCCTAGAAGGGCGTCCAGAACTGCCTGCCCGCCAAGGATCCTCAGCCAACATCCCCCCCAGCTCATCTCCGCCTGACTTCCTGCTGCCCTGGCCACCTCCCACAGGACAGAGCAGCAGCCGGCCCCCTCTGGCCTCCTCCAGCACCCCCATCCTGGATCACTTCTTGTTTGGGAGAAAAAAAGCCTTTTCCCGCTAATGTCCACAGCATCTGTGAGCTGCAACCCCCAGGGAGTTGTCAGGAACTGGAGCCAAAGTGAATTTGGACATCCGCTGGTCAGAGCCAAATCCTGGTTCCTCAGCCCAGCCAAATATGCTACTTCACCTCTCTGAACCCCAGCATCCTCAGATGTAAAGTGGAGAGAATAGTTATCCCCTTGAGGAGATTAAATGAGATAATACTGGACACACAACATAATTTTAAAAGCTTATCAACATGCTTAAAGGCAAAGCTTAGCAGGTAGAAACCCTCTTGGTGGGATGGTTCTCATTAGCCAGCTGTTCCTTGTACAGGTGAAAAAAAAAAAAAAAACAAAAAAAAAAAACATAGGCTCAGCTCCCACCTCCAACCAGCCCAGGGAGAAGGAGGTCAGGGATGGGCGTTCCTGGATCCAGTGAGCCGACAAGCAAGGCCCAGGGTTTGTCAGCACTGTGGCAAGTCTCTTGTAGCTGGGCTTCAGTGCCCCCTTTTGTATAACTAACGGGTTGAACAGGAACAGTGGGCTCCACTGATGGCATGGGGAGAGAGGTGAGCAACATGGACCCTTGGCCTCTACCCACCCCTTCAGCCTTCTGGAAGGACCACGTCTTGAGACCTGGGGAGGGGAGCAACGCCTCCTTCTTCAGAGATGGATTTGGAATTGGCTCCACCTGGTGGGAAAGAAGTTCAATTTTTCCGGCAGGACAAGCTTAAAAATTAGGAGCTCTGGTGGTCTCCCCAGTGAGCTGGTCTGCCCAAGCCAAACCAGTAGGAACCAGGGTGGGGAGGGGGGAGAGGTGGGGAGCGCAAGATAGGAGTAGGCACAGTAAGAAAACCATCTGATGGGCTGGGATTGTGGCTCAGAGGTAGCAGTGCTCACCTAGCATGCATGAGGCTCTGGGTTCGATCCTCAGCACCACATAAATATAAAATAAGGATATTGTGTCCACCTATAATTTAAAAATAAATATTAAAAAAAGGAAAACCATCTGAACCCTAAGCTTTGCTTTGACCTTGACTTTACTGACCATGGTCAGGGTCTCAGAGAGCTTCTGGGCTTGGGTTGGCAGGAGTTTAGAGGCAGGGGAGGGGCTGATGGTCAATATTGATCTAGCTGAGTCAGGGGAGAGGATGGGGAAGTGGGGAGCCTGAGGTTGGCTCCCTGTGTGACCGTGGGAACCGGGACAGTGATGCTCTAGGCAGGACTCCCTAACCTGGGGGCTTACTGAACAGATGGCTGCCTGGACTCCTGCCCAGCTTAATGTAGTCTCATCTCTGAGGATGGGGTCTGAAACATCTTTATTTTTAGCAAATTCCCAGGAATTTCTCTCTCCTCCTTCCTCGAGGCTCCCCCAGGGTTTGCACCTCTAGGTCCAGCCCCCATCCCGGCCTGCCCTGAATTCTTGTTCTGTGCATGGCTTTCACTGTCAGAGATGGCCTCAAGGATTTCTGGGAGACATCTGGCTCATTCCTGATCCTTCCCCAGAGTCCAACCTGGCTCCAGCATACCTCAGGGAAGCAGGTGTTAATTGTGGCTCAGAGTCCAAATCCCCCTTCCCTCCCATATGCCTGGGACCATCTTGAGCAGCTTCCTCACCCTGTGACAGCGGTCTCCTCAGTCATGGAATGGGGAGAATGATGATAGTGCCTATCATAGATGGATGTGCTGAAGATTGAGAGGACAGAAGAGAAAGGATAGAGGTTGTCATGGAAGCCCCCGAGGGACCTGCAGTGTGGACTTCAGGAGTAGACAACCAAGAGATGAGGGAGTCTCTGGTCAGGGAC